TTTGATCAGAATATAGTGTGCCACGCGATCGCCCCGTTGGCACGAGAGTAGACACATGCGAATTGCTAGTATAAGTCACTCCATGTTGCTTTTTTTATGAAAAGAGGGTAACCGAGATGGGTAAAAGCAAAAAATCACAAGGTATTTATCAAGTGGATGTGAAAGAGTTGCACTTTAAAGTTATTTGGCCGACATCACCTCCAGGCCATGCCAATAGTCTCTCACCCCTTCTGCGTGTCGACAATACATATTCTGTCTAGTATCATGTTTTCTTCAGATTTTAAGAAAGGCTCCAAACGCTACTTCGGTGGCAGTGGAGAACTAACGCAATCATAAAGGACGAACACCGAGGTTTCTATTATTGAATGCTAAACCTTTACGCGATGGTAGACAGGTATATGTTGTGCACGGAAAAATCAGCGACGACCCCTAACAGAAGGGCCGAAAATGGCATCTACCTTCGGCAACTACCCCAGTCCTGTGTTCGGCTGGAAATTTATTCACAACTCTTGCGACACTAGTCATATGCACGAATCATCTAAAAAAATTCGCTTTGAAGGTGTCCGCAGTAGCTGTCTTCAGATGTCAATAAAATCATCACGTAACACCTCCTCCACCAGCTGGATAGAACCTAGATAGATATACCTGGGCAGCATCAAAGTAAGAACAAAGTGGGAAGGAGGAATGACGCGAGATCCGGTCTTTATTAAATGACTGCTTTTAGTCTACTGTTCTTACGACTATGATGGACACACATGATGGCTGGCACAGTGCCCCTTTCCCCTATGCATTTCCCAAGCGGAACGAAACTTCAAGTCCAGTAGAATCACCAAGAGAAATTAGCGAAAGCGCAGTCAATTATCTTCTCAGTTGTACGTAACTTCATCGACTAGAGCGATTAGTTCGCAGGTGTTTTTCCCAGTAGCACCGACTATGTTGTGATCGACGACGCTGAAAGCTGACCAAAGGGAGTCTCAAAATTATTGCTCAAAATGAGATTGGGGTATGTTATACTTTGATTTTGGCTTAACTCTGCTTCAGCTTTTCGGACACTTAAGGCTCCGCCTTTGCCTTTCCTTATGTCATTTATCCTTTAATTATACGATTTCCTGGTTTTCTTTCAGAAATCCTGAAACTTCTTCCATAAATTGAGTAAAGTGAAGAAGATTTTATCTAATAAACAAAGTAAGGGAATTCTAAATAGTACAATATCATAATCCCTCTGTACCGAAAGAAACTTACCAAGTATTATCTTCGTCAGGGCTATCAAAGATTCACAATGGGTTTCTCACGTAATGCCTCCAGGTTTCCCAGAGGAGATATCAACTTATTTATCAATCCAACTTTCAATTCACCTTCCCCATCAAATTCAATCTTAATTCTAGTGCGTCTTATTGTACTGTAGTGCTTGAATGCTCATAATTATATCGCTACTTAGGGTAGTTAAGTATTTCATGCAACGATATTCAGTAACCCGAGGTTTAGGAAGTACCTTTACGGAGAACAAGAAAATGTGGTGAGAATTTTCATATCTAGCAAATTGGTGCACTCAAAACCTCCATCCAGTCAACCGTTCCCTTACACCAATGTGGAATTTTAAACCCGTACTCACTCAGTCTTAGTCATCTTACTACTTTCATTAAATTGCATGACTTGTTCCATTTGCATTGTATAAGTAGAAAATCACGGAGTAAAGTTTGTTATGTAGTTTTGAGCTTGCTGATTTGTTGATTGAGATGTCAGTACAATTACCTAGGACTAGTGAATGCTACGTCGCGAAGAAGGGAACTGCTCTCTCAGGTCATCTGAAGTTAATATGAATAAGAAGTCACCAAATGAGTGAAGCCTTGTTGCCATGATTTTCTGGATGGCCTAAGAGGTGTGTTAAATCTCCTCACAAGTTGACTCTTGCACGATAGCTATATAGGCTCTAATCTTGTCTGGATTTCCAGAATAAATGATGCTTTCGATGATGGAATGCAATGCTACCGGAAAAAATGCATAAAATAAGTTATTTCCCCGGTCTGGATCTGATTTTGCTTCTGCACCGATTTAAGAAATTCCATTCAGCTATTTTGGTGCTCATTGAATGATTAATTTGGCCTGGTGCCAAAGCCTGATGCCACATCCCTAGCTCAGAAAGAAGTATTAACAACTTTGCTCAATTTTTGGATAATAAATGGGACACGAAAAACGATGACGCTGTCAAAAGCTGGTCAAGTGATTGTATAAGCCTGCCCAGTAAGAGGGATAGAAGGTGATTATCTTTACGAACGTTGTGAACAATTCATTTTGGCTTGCACGTTCGGTGTGGAGTAATACCGCCTCGAAGAAATGGGCTCTGTCATTGGAGAAGTTGCACAATGTGCTGCTGTGCTCATTATGAGGTATGCAAATGGTGTTGTAGACAAACACACATAGTTGTCTAGTTTCCGAGAGCTGGAAATCCAAACATGGGTGTTACTAATGTCATCGATGGGACCAATGTTAGAAACCTCGATTCAGCATAAAGACCAAAACAGATAGCTTTTTAAAATCCCATTTTACAAGCTATATCTTTAACGCCATGTTTTTTAGTGTTTTTCTGGAAATTGTAGGAAAAACAATTTCTCAGGTAATTTGTTTTCTTACGACTCTAAAAGAAATTTGCACTTGGTTTCCAGCCGCTGTAGCCCTCAGCAACTTCTAGTAGGGCTGGGAGGCTACTAACATGTCCGAGAGGCGATGCGGCCTAGCGGAAGCACAATCGCGGAGGTTTGATTGCCCGCAAAACCAAACCGAAGAGTTAAACAAATAATCAACGTATTACACAACCCACTCTTGTCTTTTGTGCGTCGTCCCCAGCCATCACAGTGTAGTCAGTGCTGTATGAAAACACACAGGAATCGACCTACCCAGAACCGATCACTGGTTCCGGAGTTTTATCCTATTGGGAAAAAGTATTGGGGAAGAGGGAATGTGCTGGCCATCTCATATACCCATCATTAGTCTTCAAAACACTGGCCTAAAGACAGAATTATTTAATAAAGGATGGGATCGGACACATTTACATGGGGATAGGGTTTTGCTTCTATTCTATTCTATTCTTCTATTCTGATCACA